TTTCTCCCGCTCTCCCTGCCTTCCTTCTCTCTCTCTCTCTCTCTCTCTCTCTCTCTCTCTCTCTCTCTCTCCTCTCTCTTTCTCTCTCTCTCTCTCTCTCTCTCTCTCTCTCTCTCTCTCTCTCTCTCTCTCTCTCTCTCTCTCTCTCTAAGACAAAAAGAATCTTGTCCTTCTCATTTCTTTCTAAGACAAATACTGGGAGGATGACTTTCTCATCTCTTTGTATCTTGTCCTTCTCATTTCTTTCTAAGACAAATACTGGGAGGATGACTTTCTCATCTCTTTGTAAGACAAATATGGTATAAAAAGTTTATTTTTGGCCCCTCTCGACATGTTGTTTTCTACGTTATTCTCTTGTGTTGTGCAATTTTGATCTTTGTTATGATACTGTATAGCATAATCTAGGGTAGTTACGCCTCTTTCTGCTCTGTGAAAATTGTTAAGATACTACCTTTGTGGTATTTACTCTCTATTGTCTACTGGTATCTGTAGTGCTTCGGTAAGGTGCTTTTCCGTTGCAAGCAGATGTTAGTTCGATTCCCTTATGGGGATTTTTTTTGTTAAATCGAGTATCACCCTCCGTCTGCTAGGATCTTGTGTATCCCTCTCAGTCGGGGCTGGCTCTGACAGGCAAAGTCAAAGCCGCCTGCCTCATAACTATCAAAGCTGTGTCAATGGGGGCGTACAACATCTACAGTTTCTCACTTACTTCTATGTTCTTAACCTGGTGGTATCATTCATGTTGCGGCCAAGTAATATTTTACTGTATTTACTCTCTATGTCAACCAGATGGCATCTTTAATTGTACTGCCAAAGTAATATTTTACAGTATTTACTATCTATATCAACCAGATGGCACCTTTAATTGTACTGCCAAAGTGATATTTTACAGTATTCACTCTCTGTATCAATCTAGTGGCATCTTCCATTTTACTGCCGAAGAGTTATTTTAATAGTAGCCTACATGTGTTTACTCTCTATATCAACCTGTTGATATCTTTATTTGTACATCCAAAGAATTATTTTACAGTAATTACATTCACTTTCTATATCAACCTGTTAGCATCTTAATTGTACAGCCAAAGTATTATTTTACAGTATTCACTTTCTGTTTCGACCTGTTAGCTTCTTAATTGTACAGCCAAAGTATTATTTTACAGTATTCACTTTCTGTTTCCACCTGTTGGCATCTTAATTGTACAGCCAAAGTTTTATTTTACAGTATTCACTTTCTGTTTCGACCTGTTGGCATCTTAATTGTACAGCCAAAGTATTATTTTACAGTATTCACTTTCTGTTTCGACCTGTTGGCATCTTTATTTGTATTGCCGAAGTATTTTTTACAGTATTCCGTTTCTGTATCAACCTGTAGGCATGTTTAATTTTACTACCAACGTGATATTTTACAGTATTCACTCTCCATATCAACATGTTGGCATCTTAAATGTAACTGCCAAAGTGATATTTTACTGTATTCACTCTCTTTATCAATTGTTGTTGTCTTAAATGTAACTGTCATAGTGATATTTTACAATTTTATATAGCATTAAGAAAACAAACCTTCTTCTATCCCCCCCACCCCTCCCCTTCATACACCCCATGCTCAGAACGCTTCTTTAGTCACCGTGAGTATCTACGACTTGTGAATGATGCACGTGCTGTGGTTGACAATAACAAACAGCAATCCATCGCCTACCTACTCACCCATTGTCTCACTTACCGACACATCACAACCTTACACTGACGTACTCGAGGTCATGCACAATCACAGCTGTCTCATTCATTCTCCAGAAGAGCCTTCATATCATCTGTCTGTCTGTCTGTCTGTCTGTCTGTCTGTCTGTCTGTCTGTCTGTCTGTCTGTCTGTCTGTCTGTCTGTCTGTCTGTCTGTCTCTCTCTCTCTCTCTCTCTCTCTCTCTCTCTCTCTCTCTCTCTTTGACACACACGCACGCACGCACACACACACACACACACACACACACACACACACACACACACACACACACTCGCGCGTGCGCAAACATGATGCATTTCCTTTAACTAGTACTAAAGCATTTCCCATCACATGCACGCGTGTGCACGCACACAAGCACACACACACACAC